GGGGTGCCAAGCTGGACTGAGGAAGGGGCTGCTTTGTTTTCTAGATTGTTCTCAACTTATTTAATGTTTGGTTTCACTGATGGGACGGAATAAGAAACGGCAAAAAGGAGCAGGAAATATTTCTGTGTACTTAGAGGCCTATTGACCTTCACCAGTCAATCAATACTGAATAGCTTGGGCTTCCTACATTTGAGTTGTGTATATTGCATGTTATGATGGAGGTTGGAAGGGGAGGGTGGGGGTGGGTGTGAACACGTTGACAAATAAACTGTATTTGATTTAAAACGTAATCATGTTTATCTTAGGATGTAATTCACTCTGCCAAGCAATAAATTGTTTTCGAGGTGATCCGAGAGTTTGATCATTTTAGTCGATGTCACCCGGGAAAGAACAATGGTCGGACAATCACTAATGTGACGTCGGAATAAGGAGGGGGGGGGAGGGAGGGACACTTTAATTTCCCTCTTACTAGAACATTTGGTACTAGAAAGTATTTAACCCCCACCCTTCCCCCCATCCCCCAAAAAAGGATATTGCATTGGTTGAATTCCCCTTTGGACGCTGTAAGGTTACTCAAAAGACAGTACGTTCGAGTTCAACGTCCATCTCCGATAGGTAGGAGTCAAGCTGGTGGGAAGCCTTGAGACCACTACCTTCTCCCAACAAAAATGCAAACAGAAAAGCAATCCAATTTAATGGAAAAAAAATTTAATATACCCACTTTTAGGCTCGAACAAGGACCATCCTGGGGGCTCTCGTGGCCTAGAAGTTAAGGTGTTCGCCTCTCATTCAAAGGTCCGGGGTTCGAATCCGGGTAGCGGCCGAAATATTTTCTTCTCTAAAATTGTCTCCTTTCACCTTCTTTCCTTCTCTCTTGCAATATTCTGTCTTCTGCTTTCGTCTCCACTTTCTTCCCCCACCCCCTCACCTTCTTTCCCCCTCCACTGGGCTCCTGACTCTTTCTGCAGCCTTTCTACTCTTACTCTTTGGCTCCTTCTTACTGATGTCTTTCAGCCGCACCCCTGATATTCTGGTAGGAAAAGGCTACACTTAGCCTTCTCGGACAATGGCGAAAAATCTCGGAGGACCCGTGTATAAGTTGCGCACATTAAAGATTCCTTGGTGGTCCAAAATCGATAAGAGTTGGCTTCGGCAGCCACCCGGGTAACATTCAAAATTTCCTACCAATTGAAAATGTTTGGTGTGTCCCGCGCGCTCATATGACCTTATGCAGTTGCGAGCGCCGTTAAACACTTACCAATTTAAAAAAAGGGACCATCCGCACTATTGCCTAACCCACTGCGTAAGCCTCACCGATACGATGGCGGCAAATCTTGGATGGGTAGCCTGCAGTCAATCTGGACGCATGCTGACAAGATATACAGATCTCAAAGTTTTATGAAAAGCCATCAAGGTAGTAATGAATACAGCTGTTGCATTTTACGCCCCCGTCGATGCAATTTAGATCATTTAGGAGGCGGGCTGCTTTGGCCCTGCCTGTCAGGGCCAGCCCCGGCTTAGAGGGATATAACATCCTAGCAGAGAGACGGAGATACTCTATACTCAGACAGACAGACAGACAGACAGACAGACAGACAGACAGACAGACAGACAGACAGACGTGTATACACAACAGAAAGTATTGGGTTTTCTAAAAAGCCGAAAAGGGCAGCCTGGCAAGGTGTTTACCAGCAGGTCTTCCCTTTCTCCATTCATTTCTCCAGCCTTTTCCCAGTGACAACGTAGTATTTTAGTTTTAGTAAGAGTTTTACGGCACTTGCAACACAATAAAGTCATATAAGTGCTGAGGATTAGAAGGGTCAGAAGAGAGCAACAAACACAAAAAAGAAGGAGGGGAGATAGAGAAGGTAGATTTTTTACAGGAAAGAAGGAGCAAACCACACCAGAGCACCCGCCCACCATCCACCAAGGAAATGTGGTGTAAGTTGTGTGGAACCAATGTCACCCTATCAGAAACTGTGCCCACGTTCGGGAAGTCATCATCACTGACGGAAAACAGTGAAGGTTCCACCAGAAAGGACTCTCTGGTACCACTACGCAGTACGAGGCCCGCTAGGGAGTTGGCCACCTCTTGATTCAACAGAGCAGAAGAAGATAGGTCCGTGACTTATTTTAACGAATTGATGTAGAATCTATGTGTATTCAGAAAACCAAGCAAATCGCTACCCTACCCTAAAATAATTGGTCGCTTTTGAGCACAAAGGAGCTATCCCGAAAATTGCTGTTTTGAGAAAATTGAAGTTAAAGTTTTTGCCCCATGTTCAGTTTCTTTAAAAACCAAGGAGAGTTTTCTCTACAACCAAACAAATATACCCACCAATGTAACCAAACTTCTCTTATATGTAGAGCAATGCCCACTTTTGGTGTAGGTTAAGATTTCTGGAAACCCCCGAAATCTGGGTTAGCCCGCTTGTCCTTAAAAGCGACCAATTACAATTAGTATTTTTGATAAATTTGACGCTAAAAAGTTTGAGTTTCACAACATGTGTCAAGCTTTTTCGAATGCAATTCTTTGAGTATCTTGATAACAACTCCGGTTGATAGATTTTGATAGAGCAGATAGAACATTTTCTGACCTCTGTGTCTTATACCTCTGTTACACGCAACAATAAATTGAGTCAGATTTGTCGTATGCGTGAAAACTGTCCATTTTATCGAACTGTGTAGTCTATTTACACGTTCCATTCAATCGTCCAGTTCTCTTTCGATCGGGGAGATTCCTCGTCATAAATATAGAGCATGATTAGAGAGCAGAGAGGTGAAAGGAGAACATACAATTAGAGTAGGAAAATGTCCGTGGCACAAAGTCTGCTGCGACTATCAAGGAAATAGCGGGTCACAAGAGTGTGAGAAACATACAAAAGAATTAGAGGAAAATGACGATAGTAAGGATTAGGAAAGAAAAAGCAGCACTTCCCTGTTGTAGTTCAGGCACAGTTATGAGCATGACATTGTTAGATCAGCCCATTTACAATTCTACTGTGCACTAGAACGAGAAATGTCCCCCCTTTGGGAATGGCCTAAAGACACTTCAGTCAGTGGCACCGTCCTGGGGGGTATTGGCCTCTGTGTCACAATATACAGTAGATGAAAAGAACACACTTGATTATCTGCACAAGCTAAACAGCTAGCTAATCATACTGCAAAATGGCAACACAGTCGAAAGAGAAAATTCTTCAATTCATTGAAATTTACACATATCTACCCTATGACAGCCGCTGGACAATAATATAAAAAGACTATTCAAATCGCCTGGAGATTGAGCGTGCATAAAAAATCTGGTCGATTTTGTAAGTTGGAGGAAGCCAGTTGTCCGGAGCGGGTCTTTGTAAATGTTTTACGGCGCTCACAATTGCAAGAAGGTCACACGAGCGGGCGTAACAAATTAAACCTTTTTGTACGAAATTTTGAATTTGGCCTGAGTGGCTGCCGAAGCCTACTCTTATCGATTGTGGACCACCATGGGATCTTTAACGAGCGCAACTTGCACGCGAGCCTCGGAGATTTTTCTCCCTTGTTCGAGAAGGCTAGGTGTAGATCTTTCCTACTATAAGGTCAGGAGGTGGGGCTGAAAGACATCAGAAGAAATACAAAAAGAGTCAGGAGCCCAGAGGAGGGGCAAAGGAGTTGAGATGCTGGTGGCAGAAAGTTGAGACGAAAGCAGACGACAGAACATTGCAAGAGAGCAGGAAAGGAGGTGAAAGGAGACAATTTTAGAGAAGAAAAATTTCCGTCGCTATCCGGATTCGAACCCAAGACATACTGAATGAGGGTCGAACACCTTAACGTCTAGTCTAGG